TCCAGATTATTGCACGGGTTAAATTATGATTTTTTTTCCCCTGGGGTTTTGTTCCACGTGGTTTCCTCCGTGAAAACATTCATGAGGTCGTCATTAATACAATGATTCTCACTCTATAATATTTCATGATTTTTAATGGAATATCTTTTCATATAACAAAATTTAATTAAAGCATCAAGTAGAGTTGCAATTCAAAATCCAAAGGAGCCAACGAAAGAAAGATACAACTTTTTTATATTTTTTTATGCCACAATCAGATTCAACCGTTAGTTCATGTAATAAGAGGCAAGCAATCAATTTCACAAATTCAACTGGCAAAGATTCTATAGCTATGCTGTTCTCAGTACATTTAACTCAAGTTTGCCTAAATTATTATTACTATCCATATCATGACACATGTCTAATATTTCTATATATAATTTATGGCGATGTTTGGTTGGCTGGATTGGATTGAATATATTCAATTAAAATGGACATGGGTCTAATTTGATATTTGATCAGCTTAATTGTATCACTGACTGGATATTGGACCTTAGATCCAAATCCAAAATAACTCTAAAATCCAACTCCGATCCAATCCAATTCAATTCAATATCGAAATTTGTATTTATAATAAAAAAAACAAAACACCCCAAACCGAACATGTCAATTCAATTTACTCCGGATACAGTTTCAAATGCCCAGCTCTAATAAGGACTACGGGGATTAACGAAACCATGGGGCTGTATGTACTTTAATTGAATCCCAAGAAAGCCACTGGTAATTGGCACTTTGCCCTCTTCGTAAGATTTGCAAAATGGGGCATACGCCAGCCACCCTCCTTGTTTGCTTTGTGGCCTCAGCGACTAATTTAATTTGCCTTCTTTCTGGATGGCTATTGTTTATGGCACACATATGACCATATATTATAGAATTTTGTTCTTTTTTGTTTCTTTAATACTTGATGTTTGTCAACTTCCCAATTTAATACCTAAATTGTTATTTGCCCCGTTTAGACCCAAGTATCAAAATTTGAAAAAGAATTTAGTACAGGAAATTGGGAAGGGAGTTAACACAAATATTTATCGAGTGTCTGAGATTTCGAACCTCTGACCACTTGAACTACGCCTCACGGGCCAAAATTTGAAACATACTAGATCCGCTAAACCTGTACAATTACATAATACAAACGTGGTATATTTTGATTTTATTTGGCTACAAATCTCAGTCACAGTAGCGGTTAAAATTCTACAAAGGATGAACTCAATGCCATTGCCATTCATCCGACACTCCTCAATCTTATACTATGATATATCACTATAACATTCACTATTAATTATGGGAATTATACATATAATTTTCCAATTAATTAATCTATGCCGTTGACTTTCAGATGCGGAAACGTTGACCACCGGGGCACCTTTCTTCATCACACCTCATCAGACCAATCGCTAAGGTCGGTAGTCTCATAAAACAAGCCATCCACAATCTGATCAATCAACGAATCTATTAACCCGTTACAGCTTAAGCTCAAGACCCGACCCACGTTCTTCCGGTTACTGGATAGCCAAGCAGAGACCGCCGCGCAAGCCACAGCAGCCAAACACACCCCCGCCGCCTCCGCGATCCCCTCCACCTCCACCTTCCCAAACAAGGAGTTTCCGGTTACCGCCTCTGTCGCAACCGTCGCAGCGAAAACCACCATGGCCAGCCGACCCGACAGGATCTCGAAGTCTTGGCTCTTCTTCGAGCTCTCGATGTACTCCGACAACGCCGCGAAGAACGGCGACGTGTCGTCCTTCTTCTTCCTCATCACTCCGGCGAGATCTGAGCCGTACGATCTCAGAGTGCAGAGCCGCGGCTGCAGCACGATCTTCGCGGTCTTCGGATCCGGCACCACGGTTTTCGAAACCGGTACCTGAACAGGAACCGCCGGGTCGCGCCTGCTAAGCGCCGGGTTTTCCTGCCTCCTCAGCTCGCAGCGAATGGCGCGCGCCGCAGTGGCCATGGAATTAGAGGAAAGCTAGTGAGACGGTGCGTTTTGAGGAATTGGCTCGATTCCCAGAATCCTGGGGTTTTTGAGTATTGGGGATTTGGGACGTGTATTTGAGATTCGGTGGGTGGCGGTCTATGAGCCCACGTCTTGGATGGGTTGTGAGGAGGAGGCTGGCGAATGTGGGACCCTCTGTTGGGACGTGGCAGCTGATATGCTCGATAATGTAGTTTTCATTTGGAGAAAAAAAACAACAGGGAGATTAGGTTGATCACAGTCCTGTCGTTTTCATCAGGAAAGTCATGGATTCTTCTTATGTCCGTACGAAGAGAAAGGAGCTATAGATTTTTCTGTGAACAGGAAGAGTATATTTTTTTTGGCCGAATACCCCTCAACTACATCGATTGTCGAATTTAGCATTCTGAATTATTTTTTCAATCAATTTAGTCCTCGGATTATTTTAAATGGTCAATTTAGCCCATGCCGTGAAATGTTTACACTTCCATCCAATTTTCCCTTCATTATAAGGGTAAATGTGTCATTTTACAAGGTACAGTACCAAAAAAAAATAAAATATGTAAAATAAAAAAAATTCAAAAAAGAAAGAACAAAAGAAAACCAATAAATCCCCACCCGAACACACTCCCCTTTCCTCCAACGGAAGCCACCGTCTCCCCTTTCACACAAGGAACCTTTCAATTTTTGCATTCTCATTTGCCATTTGGAAATTTCACGGCTTGCTTCAAGGGAAATTAAGGTGAATATTGTTTGGGTGCTTATGCTTGAGCTCCATACGAGCTCTCTTTGTCGGTTTCTTTGTGGGTTTTGTGTTACATGTGATTTGGTTCAATATTTTCACAATTTTGGGGAAGAAAACTTCTGGGTTTTAGAGTCAGAAACCAAATGCATGTTTACTGCACACCTAGAACTCTAAAAAAATCTCTCTGCTAGTCCCCAACCCTTCAGCGCCGCTCTTGGGGGGGAGGTGGTCTGCCCCTCCTCCCCTCCCCTCCTCTTCCTCCTGTTTTCCCCTTCTCTCTTTTCCCTCCTCTTCCTTTCTCTCTGTTTATTTTTCCTTGTTTCCTCTTCACCCTCCGTGGTGATTTTGCCTCACCCCCCGTGGTGATTTTGCTCACCCTCTGTGGTTCCCACCCAGAATGGGTGTTTTTCCCCTGAGCTCTGTCTCAGATCTGGGGTTTCTTGCCTCCACTTCGGTTTCCTTTAGTCTTTTTCTGTTCTTCCTCAAGTTAACCCTACCCTGTGAGACCCTTTATCTCCCATCTATCCATCTCCTTTCTTCCCCAGCCACCTTCACTTTTCACCCTTCACTTCTTACATCCACACTCTCCTCATCTCTTCTATGTAGTGATGCCGTTCATACATGGCCAGCAATT